GAGGACAGTCTTTTATGGCCGTCAAGGAGTCGTCTATGGCGAATGGTTTGAGCAAATGCATGACTGGCATAACTGATCTTATGTGCACATTATTTCATCTTCCTAACGGATGACGACGATGAAGCCTCTAAAATCCTTTATGAAACTGAGGACGAAGCTGGGAGGTTCAGATTGAAGATTAATGGAAAGAAGACTGTGGTTCTGACTTCCGACGGCTTCCCAGCTACTGTCCGATTGGATGGATCGAGTACATCAGTTCAAGTACCTCGGATCAATCATTAAAGAGAAGGTACTTACAGTAATGGCTGACATCGCCTACAGGATCGGCTTAGCAGCTGCCGCCTTTGGATCGCTTGGGTCGCTCAATTGTCATATCAGTCCTGCTTTATAGTGCGGAATCTTGGACGATTCCGGAAGCAGATCTGAGAAAATTAGAAGTATCCTGTATGTGCTGCCTTCGGCCGATCCTTGGTGTCTCGCCGACAGACTGAATTCCTAACGAAACAAAGGTTAAGACGCTCTGGGGTTTATCTCAAAGTTAGGACAGTATTTAGGAGGTTTAGTCCAGTCAGGATGTTTCTGTGATACTGTTTTCTTATCTGGAGTTAATGATGAGATTATGAACTTAAGAACTGTTGTTCTGTAAGAGCTTCTGTCCTAAATTCAGTCCTAACTAAAGGTGTCATGGTGACTAAGCAGATAAGATTTCAGACCTAAGAGGATTCTGTAATATGGCCTCAGGTCTCCAGGTTGGTTTTCATGCATAATGCAGCTTTTCAAAAATGCTGGCGTCACATCAGTGACTCACACATGGCTGTTGCTTCTTTCATTTACAGAGCATGAAGAACTCTGTAATTTGGGGGTTGATAACATGCTTGGAAGTAAATTTTGTTTTCATTGTTTTCTCACACCATGGCGCTCAGATTAGACAGTGTTCAGTTCTTTAAATGGGGATTTGAAAAAAAAATGAATTCCATTATTCAAATGTAGTTAGAAAATCCAGAAAAACTCCACTTTCTGCTTCACCAGGACTATGTGGACATTTCAAGATAGTCGTGTAGTCGTGGCTATGAAAACGGCACATGGCAGAAAACCTTCAGAATATATGTAAATACAGGGGTCTGCCAGCCTGCATTAAGTCAAACAGGTTTATTTTCTTTTTGTAATTGTGTCATAATACGGAGCCCCTAAGGGGCCGTGGTTAAAAAAAAAAAATAAAGGTTAATGACATTGAGTTCCCTCGCAAATGTTTTGCATTCCCTCGCAAAAAAATGCGTTCCCTCGCAAATGTTTTGAATTCCCTCCCAAAAAAATGCGTTCCCACGCAAATGTTTTGCATTCCCTCCCAAAAAAATGCGTTCCCTCGCAAATGTTTTGCATTCCCTCCCAAAAAAATGCGTTCCCTCGCAAATATTTTGCATTCCCTCCCAAAAAAATGCGTTCCCACGCAAATGTTTTGAATTCCCTCCCAAAAAAATGCGTTCCCACGCAAATGTTTTGAATTCCCTCCCAAAAAAATGCGTTCCCACGCAAATGTTTTGCATTCCCTCCCAAAAAAATGCATTCCCTCGCAAATATTTTGCATTCCCTCCCAAAAAAATGCGTTCCCACGCAAATGTTTTGCATTCCCTCCCAAAAAAATGCGTTCCCTCGCAAATGTTTTGCATTATGATGCAAACAGTTTGCATTCGTTGAAACTGAAACTGAGGTTGAGGGTCCTCATACAGTAAAAGCTACATTCACAGAGGCTGCAGAGAACAATTGCTGAATAAACTCAGCACAGACCGGCCAAACTGGGAAAAGCTTTTAACGTTAGCTATGCTAAAAAACAAGCTCTAATGTAGACACTCTAATGTGTCGTTGGGCACCTCTAGTACTACGTTTGCTTGCTGTCTGACAAGCATATTCTTTGCGAGGGAACGCAAAACATGCGAGGGAACGCAATGTCAACTTTTTTTTTGTTTTTGTTTTTGTTTTTTACCACGGCCCCTTAGGGACTCTGTATGATTATGCATTATGTAGGACGAGGATTCTATCTATAATGCCGTCTAATGCAGTTGCATTCTTGTAACACCAGAGCTTGCAAACGATCATCTCTGCCCAGAGGACAGAAATACTCTAAATGAATCTCCTCCTGATCTCAGGCTCTTCTCCTAGACGTGGTTAAGACCAGTGTGAAATTAGAGTTTCTCCTGTTTCTGAAATTCGGCTCCTGAGAAATAAAACTCAGATTTTCTCACTTTCATCAAAATGTTGTCACACATGAGGATTAACTCTTTAGTGTCTGACTCGTCTCAGCTGAGTAATATCTCCATAAGAACAGTGTAGGATCTCATCGTTCTCTTATACAGCTCTGTTCTAGATAACAGAACCCTCTCAGCAGTCTGTCAGTGCAGAAGGAGAACTCATGCTTTTCTCCTTCATCACCAGAACTTCTTACAGTGATGTTAATCTCCTCTTTTCTCCTGAGGAGGTTCAGGAGAAACAATTCATTAAAATAATTCATTAATATAATATTGAGATCTGCTTTATTTCTCTGAGACGGTCTTAAGAAAGACGTCTTTTCCTCTGGGTGTTTATACATGATGATAGTCATTATTTTTCAAATTTTGTTCACAATATTATGAGGATATTGATTGTGAACCCAGTGCACCCTACTAAATATCCATTGTACAGTAACAGGATAGAAGTCTAGCCTCACTTTCTCAGAAAATCAGCTTCAGGCTCTGTGTTTTTGCACTCTACACACTTTGGCAGTGTTGTTCATTAGGAGTCTGACATAAAAAGTTAATGAGGTGTTTCCTGACTCCTGCTGGGCTGACGTGCTCCTGTGAGTGTTTTTACATTCATTTAATTCAATATGTGAAAGAGGACGAAGGCCTACGTTTCTGGACGAGGCCTATATATCAGCATCACAATGACAGTGACCTGAAAATGACCTGCTTCCATCAGAAGCCTGTCTCTGATAGGTCAGAGGCTCAGCTCTGACTGGTTTAAGAGGTGTTTATGATCCAAAATCGTGAACTTAACTTGTCCCAGAGCAGGTTAGGCATGCAAGGCAGTGTAGCCCGGTAAAAAATGATCCACCATCATGAGAAAATCTGCAAGGTTAGATTGAACTGAGCTTAAAGTTGTCGTAAAGAGATCCTGCTTTGTGAGACGGACCCCAGATTTCAGAAAACATACCTAAAAACCAAACAAATAGTTGCAAAGCAAGTTCCCTTAACTTGATATTTGTTATTTATTTTTTTTATTATGGTCTTTCAAAACAATCTGAAGCACCAACAGACAAATTGGAGTTAACCAGAAAACCTCAATTTGCGGGGCAAAACAGTGGGTCACTTCTAGCCTTCATAACTTCAGAACGGTTTAAGATACAAACATGATCCACACATCAGGACATGCGGCAGACCCGTCCCTAACGAGCAAGCATGACATCATCGAGCTGTGATGTGAGCATCAGTGAGTAATTCGGCTTGGAAGATCACCTAAAATCCTGATATTATTGCTCTGCTCCTTGGCCTTCATATTCCAACAAAGGGTTAAACAGAGACGTGATACACACATCAGATCATCATCAGACTCTGCTTCACCATCCAGAGTGATTTCATCCACCTGTGACCGTCCATCAGCCAGAGAACCACCCAAATCACCCAAACCCACTTTCTACTGTTATATTGCATCTCTGCTTTTAGACTTTATATTATAAACAAAGGGCTTTCAGTTTACATTGATTTTGAGTGTTAAAAATATCTGATATTTAACATGGAACTCAATTTGTAATTAAAAATAAAACCTGTCTTGCTGTGTGTCACACTTTTAGCACTGAGCCTGAATCCAAGAGGACAGAAAATCAATAAAAAATGTCCGCCTTAGACTAATTGTTTATTTTTACTCATAATAACCAACAGAATGAATCACCATCAAAATAATGTACTTTCAGCTCACAGACACTCCAGACTAACAATTTCTGAAAAGATAACTACAATTACACTTGTTTTCAAGATCTCTATAATTTAAAAAATACTAAATTTAGCAGGTGCTCGGTACATTTTGGATCAGAAATGACCAAATCCATAAAGATATCAAATTTCTGTTAGCATTTACATGTCAAACAATGGCACATCTGAGCAGCCCAGGGTCTCCAAAATATAACAACATATGGCATGTGTGACTGTCTCATGTAAATACACCGACCAGGCATAACATTCTGACCACCTCCTTGTTTCTATGCTCATTGTCCATTTTATCAGCTCCACTTACTATATAGGTGCACTTTGTAGTTCTACAGTTACAGACTGTAGTCCATCTGTTTCTCTGATACTTTGTTAGCCCCCTTTTACCCTGTTCTTCAGTGGTCAGGACCCCCATGGACCCTCACAGAGCAGACACTATTTGGGTGGTGGATCATTCTCAGCGCTGCAGTGACACTGACGTGGTGGTGGTGTGTTAGTGTGTGTTGTGCTGGTCTGAGTGGATCAGACACAGCAGTGCTGCTGGAGTTTTTAAACACCTCAGTGTCACTGCTGGACTGAGAATAGTCCACCAACCAAAAATATCCAGCCAACAGCGTCCTGTGACCACTGATGAAGGACTAGAGGATGACCAACGCAAACTGCGCAGCAGCAGATGAGCTATCGTCTCTGACTTTACATCTACAAGGTGGACTGACAAGGTAGGAGTGTCTAATAGAGTGGACAGTGAGTGGACACAGTGTTTAAAACTCCAGCAGCACTGCTGTGTCTGATCCACTCAGACCAGCACAACACACAGCACTGCTAAAGCTAAAATCAGTACCATTGGGTGATAGTGTGACACCAGTGCTAATATACTGGGTGATCTATCGCCCAGCACTGTGTGTACGGAACATTTTTCCCTGTCCACTATCTGAGTGTTTTATATCCCTATAAAACATAATGGAAAAAATGCTGCCTCTTTTGGTTTGAAGATTTTTTCTCTCTCTCTCTCTCTTCACTCACTTCATTTGTCTTGCTCTGCAGGTACAGGTTATTCTAACCAGACCGGCCCGAAGTGCAGCCCTTCTGATGCCGACGCCTCCACCTCCTCCATCCTGCCTGTCCACCAGGTCCTGGACAAGGTGAAAGGCTACTGCTCGGTGCGCTCCGACAACTTCTACAAAAACATCATGATGTCGGACAGTTTTAGTAACAGCACCAAGTTTTAGAGCGAGGGAGAGCAGGTAAGAGAGAGGAGAGACCGAGTTAGACCTTCTATGTTGGGCAGGCTTTTCTTAGACCAGCAGAACACTAGCAACATGTGTATACTGTACTATACTGAGCTAACCAACCAGAAACGGCATAGAGCGACGCGTAACCAACCCTGTAGAGAGGGAAAGCTGTGGAGGGAGTGATTTTACATACTGTGATGTTCAAACTGACTGTCTGTGTCCTGTAAATATTCATAGTATATTTTACTGTATGTCTATATGTGCTTTTTTTTCTAATTTCTCATTTGTGTACCTTCTTTTTTGCACATCACTTTGTTTTTTGCTTTTGTTCTGTTCTCGTTTTTTTTGTATATACATAGCTGCATACGTTATGTTTATATTTCTGCTTCACAAGAAATGAAATAAATACATAAATAAATAAAAAAGCAGGACCGTTTTGACCCTGAAGGCTCCAAAACAAGACACTTACTGTAGCTATTTGTGGATCTGTTTGTGCTTCAAATGAACAAGCATTTTGGTTAATTACGTTCTGCCGGTCGCCTCTCGTCGCCACAACAAGCCAAGTAAACGTTTCCGCTGTACAGGAGTGAAACTGAGATATTGTTTATTGTGTCACTATTTATGTTGCTCTTGGTTTTAATTCACATGCTCTACTACTGATTAACACTTTACAGAGGATTGTTCGGACAAACAGACACTACCGTTCAAACGTTTGGAATCATCTGCCATGTTAAGTTTTTTATTTCTTATAAACTACTAACTTCTACAGTGAGAACTTATTATAGAAATCCTTGCCCAAAAGGTGGAGTACTGCGCCAAAGTCACCCTTCACTCTCCATCAGTTTCCAGTCAAAGTGGCCAATAAGTTAAAGTTTGTTTTTCAATATCAGACAAAAACAGAAAACATGCCTTTAACAGAAAATTACACAGAAGCCTTAACAAGTAACTATAATCTAAAATGTCCACCCTTTGGCTTTATTACTGCTTCTATTTTTTTCACTCCTAACAACCACCTGGAAGAGCTGGTCGACCCCAAAACTGCCCCCATCTGATAAACAGCACTTAAAGCTTTCATCTCTGAGAGAGAGGAGAAAATCAAGCTGCTTCAGATCTGAAAACATCCACAGGTGTTTCTGTCCATCCTTCCACTGTGAGAAGACGACTCAGCGCTGTGGGTCTGAAAGGATGTGTAGCTGTTCAAGAAGAACCTCACTGAGAAAAGGAGACGGACACATCAAACAAAGAAGCTGAACAATGGACTGACCACCCCAGAGTCCAGACCTCAACATCACTGAATGTGTGATTATTTGATCGTGAACGGCAGAAAATGAAGTCAAGTCAAGTCAAGAGGCTTTTACTGTCATTCCATCTAAGTACACAGTGGAGCGAAATTACGTTCCTCCAGGAACAACACGGTGCAACAAATGTACAAAAGTACAAAATTACCAAGTGCGAATGTGCAAACAAAAACTAAGCTGGAAACAATACAATAAATACAATAAATAAAACAGACATTAGACACAGTAAACAGACCGGACAGTGCAGCACGACACAGCACAGATTTCTGGACATGAGGTGGTGGAATAAGGAAAAAAAACAACTTCTAAGACTGAACTTGGAAGGAAAACAAGTTAAAAAAGGAGTTTACAAAACTGAAGTTTAAAAAAACAATGATTAAAGATACAGAAAAATGTGACTCGTATGTGACTCCTGACTAAAACCGCCGCATTTAACCCCTTCAACTCCTTGAGACCACCGGTGGTTCCAAAACGCACTTCGTCATATTCTTCATAACTTTCATATTTCATAAGCTACATTCTAAAGGTGGGGGTCGTATGAGAGCTGTAACTGTCTTCTTTCCAGTCAAATAGACGGGTGATGTAATTTTAAACCCTTATAATAAAAGAAGCTGAACTCAGTTTTTTTTTTCTACCGAAAGTCGACCCATTTTTCCACAAAACTGGGCTATAAACTGTAAACAGATGGCGTCTCTTCAGTGATCTGCTCTGTAAAAAATATTTTTATAAAATAATACAAAGAGCGTCTAAGATTTTTGTCTTTCAGCAGTAAATTGTAAGCATATAGCAATATGTGTGATCATAAAACATGTTCTGTTAATTTGAGGGGAACTTTTACTAAATAAATAAATAAAATAAAAATTTACATTTGTTTCATGCAGTTACTGAATAATTTGCCTTATGATTTGGTCATGGAAATTCAGATGGACAAACCAAAATATACCCTGGAGAAAGCTTCCAGTTTTTCAAAGAAATCTGAGCCTCCAAAGTTCAGTCTTAGAAGTTGTTTATTCTGTTTTTTGCTTCTCACAACCCAAGTAATCCTAAACTCATGTTCACGTCTGGACTCTGGGGTGGTCAGTTCATCGTTCTGAGAACACCAGCAGCTTCTCTGTTTGATTTTCAAAATTTCTTCTTTTTTGTGTTTTCTTTTTTTCAGTAACAACTTTTCAGACATTTAACATTTCAGATCCTTTCACAGTGGAAGGATGGACAGAAACAGCTGTGGATGTTTTCAGATCTGAAGCAGCTTGATTTTCTCCTCTCTCTCAGAGATGAAAGCTTTAAATGGTGCAGTTTTGGTGTCTACCAGTTCTAGGAGTCACATTTTTCTTTTAATCTTTGTTTTTTTTTTAAACTTCAGTTTTGGAAACTCCTTTAACTTTTCTTTCTAAGTTCAGTCTTAGAAGTAGTTTTTTCATTTTCTGCCTCTCACGGTCAAGTAATCCTAAACACTTCCAGTGGTGTTGAGGTCTGGACTCTGGGGTGGTCAGTCCATTGTTCAGCTTCTTTGTTTGATGTGTCCGTCTCCTTTTCTCAGTGAGGTTCTTCTTGAACAGCTACACATCCTTTCAGACCCACAGCGCTGAGTCGTCTTCTCACAGTGGAAGGATGGACAGAAACACCTGTGGATGTTTTCAGATCTGAAGCAGCTTGATTTTCTCCTCTCTCTCAGAGATGAAAGCTTTAAGTGCTGTTTATCTGATGGGGGCAGTTTTGTTGTCTGCCAGCTCTTCCAGGTGGTTGTTAGGAGTTTTTTCTCTGTATCTTTTACAGTCATTTTCCTTTGACTTCCCTTTTTCTTGTGCGAGTGGATGATCTAGTCTCAGAAATATCTCCTGAAAAATGACTAACTTGGCCGTTTTGACTGAAACGTGAATAAATGAAGGGGTGTCTCTGACTTTTGCACAGTATTTTTTATGCTGTATTTAATATTTCGAGAATTCTGTGAAAAGTTATTGAGTGCAAAACAGTATACTATAATAACTTATTTACATGCTTTGTCATCTGCCTTGAGATTTGATCACATTTAAAACATTATAAACACTGTACATTAATTTTACTGTAACTTAATTCTCAGTGCTTCTGAAATTCTACAGCTCTGTTCATCTTTCACACAACATTTCTATTTACCGTGTTCGGCTGATTATTTGAAACCTGGGAAGTTGTACAGGACTGGCAAATTGGAACGAATTTACACTTTTATGTTTTATATTGCTGAAAACATTGAATCCACATCAGATAGCGATTCCAAACTTTTGAATGGTTTTGTACACTCTTAAAAATAAAGGTGCCAATGAGGGGTTTGAAGTGGGATGAGTGGTTTCAGTCGAGTCTTTTATAGAAACGTCCATGAAAAGGTTCTTCTGGGACACAATAGTGGTTCTTTTTTGGCATCACTTCAAAATCCCTTCTCGACACCTTTCAGTGTGTCCCAGTTCAGGGGCTGCGTCCTTCGGAGGCTGTATTTGAAGGCCGATTGCGTCACAGCGGTGCGACTAGGCTGTCCCATTTCGAAGCCTCCTTCATATGCAGCCGAGAAATGTGTCCTTCTTTTCCATGGCAGCGGAGGATCCAACGGGTGGATCCTTCGCCAGCCAACAGAGTTTCATTGTGTGCCAGCAAGGATTTGAGAACATGGCGGCTTTAGCAGAGGAGCAAACGGCGGCTGAGGAGACATTTTTAAATATAAGTTAAGTATATAGAAATATATTGGGTGTATATATTAAAAGTATTGGGTGTAAACTTAGGCGAATGGTGAAAGTAGTCGGCGGTGAAGCATCTGCAGCTCTAATAAATGAAAAAAGTAAACAATTGAAATCAAAGTTTTTGGCTCAGTCTTTAAAGAACTTTAAAAGAACTTGACAGGAGCGGCGTTTCATGGCACAACAGTAAGGACAGGAACGCAAACAGGAAATCCGTTGTAGAGCAAACCGTCTCATTTCGGTTCAGCTTTTGCGGTTCAGCCTTCGTAGACCGCGTCCTTCGAAGGATGCAGCCCCTGAATTGGGACACACTGTTTATTTGAGTGTAGTACTCTGTCTACGGAGGGTCGGGCGGCACCAGCTCAGTCAGGTTAAATATGGTATGCAACTTTTAGTTTTTCATGAATCTGTTCTGTGATGTAAAACAATCAGCTACATACCGAATCTAACCAGAATGTTGTAGGGTTTGTTTTGTTTTTTTAAGAAATGGTATTTATTCTCTGAGGTCTGGAGATGTCAACAGATGACATGCTTTACCAAAGGCATCGATAAATGCTTTCATTTGCAAAGTTTGACCTGGTATGATGTGTCAGTTTATTATTCCGTGGCTTGTGTTGAGGCTTGCGTGAACATGTGACTTAGTCTTACTGTATATTAAAAAGAGCTCAAACCAGATTCGTGTGTCTTGTACCTTTTAAAACACCAGAACATTCATATTCACGTCACACTGACTTTCAGGAGGATCTGATATTTGATGCTGAGTTTAGGGCCCAACTGGTACAATTATTTCGCTGATAATATTGGTTGATATCAACATCCACCAGACCTACCTGTACTATAATTGGTGAATTTATAATGTGATAAGCAGAAACGTCTGACAAAAACTGCACAAAACATCATTATGGTGTATCCCATACATGTTATAACACACAAAAACCCTTTCCATGAAGAGACCTGATAAAAATATGAGCTATTTAACAGAAACTAGATCTGAATTCTAAGAAGTTCCACACTAATAATAATGTTGTTATTTAAGACTTTGAGGTTCATTCGTTTATTTAAGAAATGTGACAGTCAATCCAAACATATCAGTCTGTTTAATGTTTAATCATACGACATCACACTGACCAGGCATAACATGATGACCACCTCCTTGTTTCTACGCTCATTGTCCATTTTATCAGCTCCACTTACTATATAGGTGCACTTTGTAGTTCTACAGTTACAGACTGTAGTCCATCTGTTTCTCTGATACTTTGTTAGCCCCCTTTTACCCTGTTCTTCAGTGGTCAGGACCCCCATGGACCCTCACAGAGCAGGTGCTATTTGGGTGGTGGATCATTCTCAGCACTGCAGTAACACTGACGTGGTGGTGGTGTGTTAGTGTGTGTTGTGCTGGTCTGAGTGGATCAGACACAGTGCTGCTGGAGTTTTTAAACACCTCAGTGTCGCTGCTGGACTGAGAATAGTCCACCAACCAAAAATATCCAGCCAACAGCGTCCTGTGGGCAGCGTCCTGTGACCACTGATGAAGGACTAGAGGATGACCAACACAAACTGTGCAGCAGCAGATGAGCTATCGTCTCTGACTTTACATCTACAAGGTGGACTGACAAGGTAGGAGCGTCTAATAGAGTGGACAGTGAGTGGACACAGTGTTTAAAAACTCCAGCAGCACTGCTGTGTCTGATCCACTCAGACCAGCGCAACACACACTAACACACCACCACCACATCATTGTTACTGCAGTGCTGAGAATGACCCTTTGTCTGCTATTATTTCAAGTGCAGTGATTTTTGGGCATGTTC